AAGATATAATAATTCAAAACTTACAGTCTCTAACTTCCGTAAATATGGATCAACGATTTTTCAGCTTCTCATCAAACTTCCTGTCCAATCAAATGCTTTCTAGAATCCGAAGTGCCCCGCCCCCTAGACTACGCTCTAAAAAATGCTGGGTTAAAATCAACCCAACCTGGGTTATTTGGCAACCCAGCGCTGGGTAAATATTGGACAGAAAACCAATATTTAGTTATTTTGACCCAGCTGGTTGGGTTAAATGTTTTTTACCAAACATGCCGGGTTATTTTATTTAAGTCAACTATTGTTTAAAAATTATTATATTGCTGGCTTAAAATGGGCTGGAAATTAAAAATCAGTTATAGCACTTGCATATCATTGCTCTTTTATTGATTTTGATTGCTTCTTATATCTTATTTGTAATTCGCTTTGGATAAAAGTGTCTGCAAAATGACTAAATGTAAATGTAAATGTAAGCAAGAACACCCGTGGACAAAATACAAGACAAATTGAATTTATTTGGGTGAATACAGCATAGTTTACAATATTATATACATTTAAATTTAAACAAGCATTTTAGACATAAAAAGTAACATTTAAAAGTAGCATTTTAATTTAAGTGTATTCAACCGTTCTCTGTAATCGCTTTTTACAGAAATAGTGCTAATTCTCGTGCCGGTGTGTCGCCGAAATCTGATCGGGTGAAGGGCTACTGTTCGCGGGGGAACTGCGAGCTCCAAAACCTGCCCATAAACAAGCAGTAGGCCTACTGAGATTAAAGAACATATTTTAACGTCAAATTAAATTACACTCATTATTATAACTAATCAAATCTATTTATTTTATGCAAGGCAAAAGGCGTTTCCATCATGTGAAGTGATCTGTAGTAGTAGTAGTGGTTGTAATGAAGATTCAGTGACGTTGGGATCCATGTGCAGCTTTATTAACAAACAGTATGAGTCAAACAGGCAAAGTTAAATCAACAGTATTCAAGGGCAATGTAGGCAAGGCAGAATCATAACCGGAGTCCGTGCAAAGGGTCGAGGCAGGCGGCAGACAGAGAATAGAACAAATCCAATAGACAGACAAGGTTAAAGAGGCAGGCAGAGAACAATCAGACGGGTATAAACAGACTTCGCACAGAGGTTAGGGTAGGCACTGATTAAATAATCAGGATAATGATCAGCACCTGCGCAGGTAATCAGTCTCAGGTACGGGGTGATGGGAATTGAAGTCCGCAAGAACAGTTAGTACTCTGGTGACGGTTCCCTCTGGTGGTGATCAGAGGGAGCCACAGAGGCTTGATTCGTGACAGTGGTATTGCATCAATTTTACAACCAAACAAGGTACATAATCACATTCCAAAATATAACCAATCTTGTTCAGCCTTGTTTGAGCACTACCAAAAATAAAATTAAAATTAAATAGTCAAAATAAAATAAGCCAACCACAAATAAAATGCATCAAAAAGAAATTTTTTAATTAAACTTTTTAAATTAATTATACAAATCCAAGAGAGAAGTCAACTTAAGGGCTTTCTTGTTTTTAACAAATTTTAAAAATGTGTATAAGAGTTTTACCTCATTCCACCATTTGATAAAGTTGGGTTTAGATTTAAACCATCTGCACTTGTGAATAAAAAAACTTCATAAAACATTACAAGAAATTAATAACAAATTCAAACTCTTTGTTTTCAAGACAAATACCAAACCTGATACCTTCACATTGAGGGGTGGAAATGTAACATTCCTTGAACATAACCAGTTTTGCACCTCTCTTCAAAAAGGCTGCACCATATCACACAAAAAGAAAAACATGGTCTAAAGTTTCAGTACTTGTTTCACAAAAAACACAATTATTTACATCAAAATTAAATTTCAGTCTTAAAAATTAGTTGGTAGAATAAATCTCATTTAGAATCTTGAAGCTAACCTCTTTAGCTTTAGGAGGGAAGGGGGAAAGACAGATATTATTTTCCAACCATATCGAAATCTTTAGGCACGCATTCCAGTCTAACTGGGTTAGGGTAAGCCTGTAAACTAAAATTTTGAATAAGTATATTTGTACATTTTTTTCCCACAGTAAGAGATGACCCAGCCAACAACAGAACAAAGTCAATATAACGTTCCAGTGACCAACAAATAGTTCCCCCTGGCAAACTTGAACGAAGGGGTTCATCAATACCAAAACGAAAAATGTCTTTGAGGGTCACATTATTAAAATCCACAAAGTGACATACCTCACAAAAATCGGCCACATACTCCTCTATAGCCCGGCCGCCCTGACGCAGGCAGAGGAGACGTGAAACTGCTGGGTTCATAGGGTAGGTCGTGTATTCTGTAATGAAAGTCCACTGAAGGCGAGCGTAGTGAAGAACCCAAGTGCAGTTTATTTACAGGTGATCCAAACAAAACGAAAAATGTCTTTGAGGGTCACATTATTAAAATCCACAAAGTGACATACCTCACAAAAATCGGCCACATACTCCTCTATAGCCCGGCCGCCCTGACGCAGGCAGAGGAGACGTGAAACTGCTGGGTTCATAGGGTAGGTCGTGTATTCTGTAATGAATCAGTCCACTGAAGGCGAGAGTAGTGAAGAACCCAAGTGCAGTTTTACAATATCTTTCCTGTTCTCTAACCCTCTCCTTAAGATCACGATTCTTGCGAAGATGATCATTTTGTATCTCCAAGTCCTTAACTCTTTTTTTGCACTCATTCACCTCTTCCGTGTTGAACTGAATCGCCTTCGTTAGGCTTACAATCATGGCGCTGCTTTGTTTGGATTTTTCACTTAAATCCACCAGCTTCTCATGCACCCTCCTTTCCAGATTTAATATCGCCTCCAAAATGGTTTCATTAGCCATCTCTGCATTCTCTTTTATTTTGCTCCACTACTTTTGCTTCATCTTTCTTTTCAACATTGGGCAAGGAATCTTTCCCTTTGGGGTCTAGTTTTAGCTTGGCAGGTTTAATCAGTTTTTGTGAAGACATCTTGATGAACAACAGTGGGAATTACTTACTTCAAGCAAACTTTTGGGAACAACTGTCACAAGCTTTGAAAAAAATCAGCTGCTTAACTCACCATCTTCGCACGGCCCTGTTCACATAGTAGTTTCTGTATGGTGGATGGCATGTAGTGCACTATATAGGGTATAGGGAACAATTCAAACAGCGTACATATTATTCTATGAGTTGACGTAATTTTAGCTGAAACAGGAAGACAGGAATACATAGCGAGAAGCCTATGAAGTCTCCTTTTGAAATAGCCAGTAGCCTTTTGTTTATATCACAGCTTGGGTCAGAGCTGTTGAGTTCAGTAAAGGCACATTTGACAGCTTATGACAGCCACAGTCTAATAGATTTCCCATTTAGTTTCAATTTGAAACTGTTACTAAAGCAAAGCAGTGACTATAATGATGCTGAGGATGTTTAGTTTGAAAATTGTGACACTTCAAGGCACTTCAGTGGATCTTTAATCACTTAAATTTATCAAATAATATTTTAGGCAAATAAGCATGTTAGACCTTTTCAAGCATGTGCAAACATTGGGACTTTTATTGCACTGACTGTATCTAAGGGGTGTATATTTTTGCAAAAAGGAGAAATTCAGGTATGATGAAAAAAGGTGATGTTTTTATGTTCAATCAGATGTTACTCAAAGGTGGGGAATCGACAGATGGGGAAACAAGAGTTGTCAATTGGTGAAAGATGTGAGAGTTTAGGAACAGTGGAGCACGAGTTTCTGCATGCGCTGGGTTTCTGGCACGAGCAGTCCAGATCTGACAGAGACGACTACGTCACCATTGTGTGGGACCAGATTAAAAAGGGTAACTATTGAATTCTTAAATACTCGCATCAATAATAACATCATTCTGTCTTGCCAAACTCCTAAAATCTATATATTCTAATATTAAATACACGCCTGTTTGATTATTAACTGTTTTGCCATTTGTTTCTCACTTAGGTAAAGAGCACAACTTTATTTCATATGATGAAACTGTGTCAAGCTCTCTCGGTGTGCCCTATGATTATGGTTCAGTCATGCACTACAGTAAGACATCCTTCAGCAATGCCAGTGAACCAACCATCGTTACCAAAATACCAGAATTCTTGGATGTGATTGGTCAACGCATGGAGTTTAGTGACAGTGACCTGCTCAAGCTGAACCGGCTATACAATTGTAGTAAGTTTATGATTAAGCACTTTCTGTGGAAGACTCGACTGAATGATCCTCCGTTATTTTTTTATAAATATATTGACATTAGTTTGACTGCTAAGATAAAGACTACTTGCTCAACTAATACTTTGCTTCTCTCACTCATCTTGTCCTAAACATTTTTCATAATTCTTCCAGCTACAGCCTCAACTTTTCTGGACTCTTGCCAGTTTGAGGAGCCAAATATCTGTGGTATGATCCAGGGTGATGGTGGAAATGTCAAATGGGCTCGTGTACAAAGAGTAAAGGGCGGTCCACAGACGGACTACACCAACCTGGGTCAATGTCAAGGTATGAACACCCCTAACCACAAAAGCAGGATTCAACCCAACACAACCCAACTGAGTTTTGCATTCATTTACAATGAAAATAGCCATTTTTGAGCCACAGGATCACTAGCAAGAAAACTTCATGCAAGTGAGTTGAGAATTTCGCAATTGTTTTTTCCATTTATGCACCATCATGCTCAGTAGCCCTGCCCATTGTGAAACCTCATTTGTCCAAACTCCATATAAACGCAAATATATTTGGTTGTGATGCATCAAAAATCCAGACTCTTGTCACTGTGAGTCACATCAAGCAGGAGTGTTGTGTGGAAATTTAAACTTTTCCCACATAGCAAATATTATTTTTGCCAAGTTTACACCAACTGTAAAAGAAAAAGAAAAAAATCTGCTATTGCATTTCCATGACTTAACAAGAGGAATCAAAATATATAGAGAGAACTATAAAGAGAAATGCCAAACTTACAGTCACTCTCTCAGCAGTTATATTAGAAAGAAAATAGCCATTTTTGAGCCACAGGATCACTAGCAATAAAACTTCATGCAAGTGAGTTGAGAATTTCGCAATTGTTTTTTCCATTTATGCACTATCATGCTCAGTAGCCCTGCCCATTGTGAAACCTCATTCGTCCAAACTCCATATAAACGCAAATATATTTGGTTGTGATGCATCAAAAATCCAGACTCTTGTCACTGTGAGTCACATCAAGCAGGAGTGTTGTGTGGAAATTTAAACTTTTCCCACATAGCAAATATTATTTTTGCCAAGTTTACACCAACTGTAAAAGAAAAAGAAAAAAATCTGCTATTGCATTTCCATGACTTAACAAGAGGAATCAAAATATATAGAGAGAACTATAAAGAGAAATGCCAAACTTACAGTCACTCTCTCAGCAGTTATATTAGAAACTCCTTTGGAAATCACAGAATTGACCATTATTTGTATTTGTTTGCCAAGGTAATTTAACACAAAGTGTTATAAACATACATTATTTTATGATTATTTCAGGTCTTATCGCATCATACCTAGTTATGCCAAAGACTGTCTTAGATTTAAGCCCACCGGCAACTATAGTTGCCGCAGTTTATAGTTGTTATTTTCCTTTTGTAAGTATTTTTCTAGATGTTATCCATGTTTTATTTCTCAATGACATGCAAGCAAACAACCAAATAAAGGATTTCAAGAAAAAAAATAAAAGTATTCACTTCCCTACTGTCACATGAGGCTGTCAAGTTCCTACCCCTACTTCCAGGAAGCATGGCGAAGGCAAACCCTCCCAAAGAAATGTAATTTTCATGTTACTAATAAGTATTTTTTGTTGACATATACATATCTACATAATCATGATGGTCTCTAGAATCATCCAAACAAAACAAATCTTACAAGAGATCTATAGTTTTTTGTATACTTAATCAAAAGTCCAAGCGGCAACTATAGTTGCCGGTGGGCAAATGACTTGTAAGTACATATCATGGGGAAATGGGGTATACTGTGTTAATAGGTTAATAAATCAAGGTTATTGGTCTTGTTTTACATTATTGAAATCACCTACTACAGTCAGCCATTGAATACCATGGGCCTAAAAAAAAAATGCGCAGAAAATTTCTTTCAGGTATACATTTTAAAAAAATTATATATATGTAATATTTTCTTCATTCAATTTATTTTTATTTATTTATTTTC